AATAAAGGTACATTGAAAAGTAGAATGAGGGGCACCTGGGTGGCTCAGTTGTTAAGCGTTTGCCTTCGGCTCAGGTCATGATCGCAGAGTCCTGGGATCGAGCCCTGCATCGTGCTCCCTGCTCTGTGGGGAGTCTGCGTCTCCCTCTCCCACTCCCCCTGCTTGTGTTCCCTCTCTTGCTGTCTCTCTCTCTGTCAAATAAATAAATAAAATCTTCTTTAAAAAAAAGTAGAATGAAAGTATACCAGATTTTAAAAATATATATAAACTATTTGTGTGAAATATTTAAAACTGTTGTTTCACTTTTCTAAAAAGTTGAGTATCTGCCCCTTGCCACGGAGCATGCCTCCAAACAACAGAAGCCTTGACAGTTGCTAGACTTAGTTTCTTCTTGGAAAATGCCTAAAACATCTGACTTATGACCATTTTGTTTCAGTAGCCTAAAGACCAGACTGTCATACGAAGCTATTACAATGAAAGTTGCAAAGCCCCCCCTCAAAAAAAGGAAAAGTAAATTAACTCATGAACAGAACAGTTTATGAGGAAAGGAAAGGTTATTTCTTTTTTAACTTGAAACTCTTCCAATAAAATCCTAGAATACGTAAAACGCCTTAAAAACCTGAATATGGTTTCTGGAAATGCCATTTTTTGACAGGTAATTTCAAATAGAGCCTCACACAGAAAGAGAAAGAAGGGATTTTTAAGAGAGACAAAATCTGGGGAAGGGGAAAAAAAAAGCTGGCGGCAGGAACACTGAAAAAGCATACTTATCACAAATCAGACTTGCCCTGTGGTTATCTCTTTTCATTTCTTTGAATCTCTTTTTCTTCCTTGGAAATCCAGGGTGATTTTACAGCTTATGACCTGAGCCAACTACGGCCATGGCATTTCTGCTAAAAGCCCAAACCATTAAGACAAAAACAGGCTTGTCATGATCACCGAGACAGGCTTGTTTGTGCATTTCGTTTCATTTTGAACTGTGACAGGTAAAATTGAGTTCCTGATGGCAGACAGTGGGACTTGGAGATCACATAGTTCGGGAGGCTCAGCTACAACTTGTTCCTGCAAATATGTTGTAGCAGTCAGGATTGAACCAAAAATAAGCAGATTGGACAAGATAATTTAAGATAAATTAAGCTACTAAGAAAAACAAAAATGATTTCTCTTTTCTCATGCATTTTTAAATTTCCAGAAGGCTATTAAATTATTGAAGTATTTCCTAAAGGTGTGAAATACATGGAATCATCAGTGTCAGCCACATTAGTAACATATGTATTAATTGGTCCATGTCATATTTGGCACTTGGGGAGTTTAAAAAGAGCTAGAGGACATATATAAAATCAAGAAGAATTTATGCATCTTTAATTAGATATTCTCATCATCATGTTCATAAACCTTTGAAATGCTCTCTTAAACATCTGAGGAAAAATAAAGTTATATGTGCTAAAGCATTAAGATTATTAAACTTATTTAAATTAACAAATGTCTGATGAAACATGACACAATCAGAAAAATCACCAACTTTCGATTTAGATAAACCCGTGTTTAAATATCAGCTCTATGAAAAATGATTTAAAAATTCACTGACTTATTACAGTGTGCTAGAAACTATGCTATTCCATTTTGCAGATGCATTTTGCAAAGATTAAATAGATTGTTCACTGTTGTTATAAGCTAACTGTGTTCCTCCAAAATTCACCTTTTGAAGCTCTAATCCCAGTTCCTCAGAATGTGACTATATTGGGAGAGAGAGTCTTTAAAGAGGAGATAAAGTTAAAATGAGGCCATATGAGTGGGCTCTAATCCAATATGACAAGTGTTCTTATCAGAAGAGGAGATTGGGACTCAGACATCACAGACAGAGGGACAACCATGTGAGGAGACAGCAAGAAGTAAAGAAAGTGACCTCAGAAGAAACCAGACCTGTTGACACCTTGACCTTGAACTCTTAGCCTCCAAAACTGTGAGAAAATAAATTTTTGTTCTTTAAGCTTCCTAGTGTGTGGTATCTGACCTATTTTGCTATCTTCTCCTCTTCCCTTGACCTCTACAATTCTAGAATTCCTAAGACTAGCCTACTCCCTCTCTCTACACTCACTCCTGAGAAAGAGCTCACCTTTTTAATGGCTTTGTTGCCATCAGCATGCTCACAACTCCCGGACTTACTTCCCCAGCAAGCCCTCTCTTTGGGGCTACCCTCAGTAAGGCAGCATCCAGTCACCTGTGAAAGTGTTTCTTGATTGCCTCACAAGCATCCAAATGCTATCTTATCCAAAACCGAACTCAGCATTGTCCTCTAGAACCTCTTCCTCCCAATCTTCCCCCGGTTGAGAAAGGATAACAAAGTCTGCCCAGTTTCTTCAACTGACTCGGTGATAAATTCAGTTGAGTCTGCCTCCAAAACGTGTCCTGAACCTGTCTAACCCTCTCCATCTTTTCTGGAATGTTGCCTACGATGCTGTTGCCTAGGACACAGTAGCCCTGGACCAACCTTCCTGCTTCACTGAATCCATCAGGATTTTTCCTGACTTGTGCCTTTGTGCTTTCTGTTGCCTCAGGTCCTTTTCTCCCAGGCTCTTGATAGGACCTTTCTCATCCTTCAAGCCTCCAGTTGTATGTTACCTCCTCAGAGAGGTCAGCTTTGATTAATCTCTTTTAATAGTTCTTCCCTTTGGTCTCTCTGTCCCATTCATTTACTTCTAAGTATTTCCTGTTTAAAATGTTTTTCTTATTAGTTTTTTATCTGTCTCCACTACTGTCAAAGAAAAAAAATGCAACATGCAGATTAAATAGGTAAGGAAAAGACCATATTCAAGACTATCTAAATAGAGGACAGAGGCTGAACTCAACTCTACTGAAACAAAATGCTGGGGAGTTTGTAATACGTGGGGTGAGCTAGTGGCAATAGCAGGGAAATGGATCAATTTGATTAGGTCATCTGTGTTTGCTAATTGGCGCTTAATCAAAGTGAGATATCTATTCTGCTTCTAAACCTAAGTGGCAAATACAGTTCCTGACACACATGTCCTTAATCAAGTTCTGGGGGCACCTGGGTGGCTCAGTCGTTAAGCGTCTGCCTTCAGCTCAGATCATGATCCCAGGGTCATGGGATCGAGCCCCGCATCGGGCTCCCTGCTCAGTGGGAAGCCTGCTTCTCCCTCCCCCACTCCCCCTGCTTGTGTTCCCTCTCTCACTGTGTCTCTCTCTGTCAAATAAATAAATAAAATCTTAAAAAAAAAAATTCTGATAAATGAGCACATGAATGACTACACTGTACTTAACCTGTGTTGTGTAGGATATTTCATATCTCTAGGCCTCAGCGTCCTATAAAATTGGAACAATACTCTACGTCTTATGGGTTGTTGTTAAGATTAAATAATATGTTCTTTCAATTCTCCTGACATAAGAATAGTTACAAACTAAAGGCCTGTTAAATTGATCAATTGGGGAATATAAAATTACTTGCCTGTCATATGGTGGTTCCTCAAAAAGTTAAACATAAAAGTACTTTATGATCCAGCAATTCCACTTCTAGGTAGATACCCCAAAGAGATGAAAGCAGGGACTCTAACAAATACTTGCACACCGATGTTCGGACTACCACTGTTCACAGAGGCTAAGAGGTGCAAACAACTCAAATGTATATCAATAGAGGAATAAATAAAAAGCGATATGTACATATATACAACATTATATTTTTCAGTCATAAAAAGGAATGAAATTCTCATGTGTGGTACAGTATGGATAAACCTTGAAAATGTTATGCTAACTGAAATAAGCCAGCCTAAGAAGGACAAATATTATATGATTCCTGTTATATGAGGTATCTAGAAGAGGCAAATTCAGGAGGTAGGATGGAGAGAACCAAGGGCTGGGGGCAGCGGGGGATGGGGAGTTATTGTTTAATAGGTATGGAACTTCTGTGTGGGATAATGAAAAATGCTAAAAATGGATATTGGCAATCTTTAAACAACATTGTGAATATACTTAATGCCACTGAGTTGTATACTTAAAATGGTTAGAATGGTAAATTTTGTTATGTATGTTTCATACTGATAAAAAATTAGTGAATAGACATTAAAAATAATTATTCCCCTGTAGTGTAGATACGTCATTCATCATGAGTAAATTTCTTGCTGGCTGGCGAGGGTTGCACAGTGCCATGGAAAAATGCTCCAGACATGGATTCAGAAGATTTTTTTTCTCCAGTTTCAGCTCTGTCACTTACTAGTAATAAAAATTTGAGTAAGTCACTTAGGTCCTTTGCACCTTAGTTTCTTCTAGTTACAGTATCCAACAGAGTTGCTTTGTGTACTAAAATTAAAGGAAATAATGCATATAAAGGGCTTTGTAAATTCCAACAATTATATAAGTAGATGGGAGCAGTTTTATTATATATTCCTTTAAGAAGCTTAATCTTTTCACTAAAATGTGCTTATTAATTGCTATTTAAGTACCCTAAAATATTAAATTATGGTTGCTAAGATTCAGTCAAGGTGGATTTTTTTTTCTCTGTGTATTAAATTATAAGTTTTTAGAATGAAAAAGAATGCTGAATTTCTAAAGAAACCACATTTCTCTTTAGCATTCTTAATAGCGAATGGGTCATTAAACCTTTCTTTTCCATGCCTTTTGTTCATTGTGTAGTCTCACTGTACATACCTTAGGAAGAAAGGATAACTATGTTATACCCTGTCTGGAAAAAAATGGCCTTCATTCATACGTAATTACAAGTATTAAAATATTTTATTTTGTTACCTCTTCTCATCTTCCATTCCAAACCATACAAACCATTATCAGTCTTCCCATTGTCAGACATATGACAGTTTGACGTGGCACCATATCCAATTGTCATTACTTTGTAAAACTCTTTGGATACATAATTACATTGAAAAAAAAATCTAAAAAGTAACATAAGTTACTTGTTTTAACCTCATAACTTAGTACCAAAATTAGTGTGGTTGAACAAGTGTCAACTAATTTTTTGTTTCCCTCCTTAGTGGTTATGTCTTTGACTATGATTACTACAGAGAAGATTTCTACAATCGGTATGTAAATTTTTCATTCCCGTTTTCCTTTGATTTAAATTCTTTTAACTGCTTTGTATATTTCATTCCTAGGTATTCTCGATTGATATTTAAAATAAAGAAAATTCTTTACTAACTCCCCAAAAGTATAATGTAGGCAGATTTTCTTATTTTCATTGTGCTTACTGAAGCATAGTACATCTTGGACTTTTAGGACTTCAGAGGTTCTTAAGCCAAAAGTTCGGTTATGGAATATTGGAATAACATCCCCAAAATTTAATGAACCAATATTGTTTTCCAGGTCTGTTGATGACTTAAGATTCTTCAAGACTGAAAGTTTTGTAAACTCGGAAAATGACTCCAACCTTCTAAAATATATCTGTTTTCAATATGACACATTGCAATGTTAGTTGGTTAGATTGGTTAGATTCAGTAAAAATTACAGACGGTTCTTGCTTTGCATAGTAGTGTTGGATCATAAAGGAAACCATACAAAGTGATGTTAATAATCAGTGGAAAAAAACAATCTTCTGTCCCCTCTAAAAATGCTCGTAAACACATTAAAAATTCTCTTGCTGTTGGTTATAAATAATAGAGAAATACAGTAAAATCGTTGTAAGTACACTATAATTTAAGACAGTAAAAATATTGAGAATTCATGTGTTTGAGTTCTTTGTAAAAAGACCTGTCCAAAAGTAGTTCGAGCAGGTCTTGCCTTCTTGTACAACTTACTCTACGGAGCTAGCATCCTTCTTGGGCCTCAGTGAGGTGTCCTACTCCTTTCAAAGGCTGGACCAGCTTCAGCAGTTTATCAGCATTGTGAACTATCTCTGAGAGGTCTTCAGTGTGGTTCTTTTGCCAGGGTCACTTCTTCTGGGGCATCGTTATCCCTTTTTATCCCTTCACAACTGTTTTCCTCATTTATGTCAATCTGTTGCTTTTCCTAAATTCCTCTGGTTCGGCATCTAGAGTCTCTCCAGCAGAAGAGTGTCAATAGTCCCCAGTCAGCTATTTCTCCCACAGTTCCATCCCATTTAATTTTTTTCCCTTCCAGTGTTATCCCTCTTCTCTTCTTTACTGCACTTTCATCTTTGTTGACCAGTTTCCTCTTTTGATTACCCACTTTTGTCAAGGGCCACGTGGGTTTATCACGGGCAACAAGGAGACAATACAACTACAGAGTTACCGTCCGGTACCCCCCAGATGCATGGCAACCAGAGACACTTTGAACGAAGTGACGTGACCAAGCACTGATCAGGATGCGCCTCTGTTATTTGCACAGTGCTTTGTGGACTGAAAAACTAGCAGCCAAGTTTGGACTTTGTGAAATTACTCACAGTTACTATGTGGCAACTGAAATTTGATTTGTGCTGTGGGAAGACGTGTTATTTAACTAAACATGGGCTGAAATTCTGAGATATGCAAATCAAGGGCCAGCTGTACATAGATCATTAGACCACACACATAAAAATGAGGTAAATATCTTTTAAGCTTTCTAATTGTAAGTTCTAGTCAAACAAAAACAACAACAAAAATCCCAAGGTATAAAAAATGCAAACTTGGAAAAATAGTTCGTAATGGACATTTTTAATAGGGAAGAAACTTCATGATCCCTTGGAAGGTCCTGGTTCCGTTTGCTCCAGCCACACAGCTCCTTTCTCAGCTCCACAAGAACACCATGTACCCTCCTCCCTCAGCACCTTCTTCCGTGCTGCTCCTTCTCATCATTCCTCCCTCTGCCATCTAGTTAACTTGCCTTCATCCCTCAGCCCTCAGCATGAACACCGACTAAATTAGGTTCCTCTGTTCCCCTCTCTCAGCACCCAGCATTATCCTTCACAGCACTTCTGCTTTTTTACTGCTGTCTTTCTTTGTGATGACAGTATTTGATTCATGTCTGCTTCTTGTCCTCCATGAAGGCAGGAAAGATGCTCAGGTTTGAGTATTATTGTATCTTCGGGCAATATCATTAAGTTCCAATATAGTGGATACTCAATTCGTGTTCTTAATTCATCTTCTTGGATTTAGAGAGACATTGGTTTCCCCAAGGTCATACAGTAAATTCATGACCAAACTACAAATATAAACTATTTAGATTCAAAAGCCAACTGTGTGAATGTGCAAAACGGGAGGGGAGCAATATTAGTTTATGGAGTTAAGTCAACGGAGACAGCCTTACCTAAAGGGAAATCAGACCACAACCATACCTTCATCACCACTATGCTCAACTACTCAGTTAAGCAAGTTATTCCACTAGGTACACCTTTATGATCAAATATGATTTTTAAAAGATAATTTTCTCAAATCATTTTAATAATTTATACAAGATACAGTATTTTGTTGTAAATATTAAATAGTTTGTAACAACTTATCCTAAAAATGATCTGAAGATCTGGCAGCATAAAACAATCCCATTTACTATTAAGAAAAGACACCATTTAAATAGTCTGCATACTATTTGAAAATTTTAGTTTTAGACATTTCTAAAGACTTTTTTTTAAAGATTTTATTTATTCATTTCTTTGAGAGAGGGAGAGCATGAGTGGGGTGAAGGACAGAGGGAGAAGCAGACTCCCTGCTGAGCAGGAGCCCAATGCAGCTCGATCCCAGGACCGTGGGATCGTGACCTGAGCCAAAGGCAGATGCTTAACCAACTGAGCCACCCAGGTGCAGCCTAAACTCATTTTTTTTTTTTCAGGATACATACCCTGTCCTAATTGCTATGAATAAAGTTTTCAATTAGCATATGTTTAGTCTGTCAATATGAAACTGTTTTTGGCATTGTAGTCTCTTAAGTGTTTTCTATCTTGTGATTTCCTTCTACATTTAAAGAATTTCTCCCTAAAATGGAGTTTCTATATAAATTATAGCCCAATAAAATCATTAGGTAGATAGATGATAGATAGATAGATAGATAGATAGATAGATAGATAGATAGATAGATAGATAGATAGATAGATAAATCTGTCCTACCTACCAAAGATTAAGAGCCTTAATCAGCCAAAGAGTTATAGAGCTTGAAGTTTTCAGATGATTCTTCACTACACAAAAAAACTAACTGAACAATTCCGCACATCATTTATCTTATATAAAATCTGTTTGCCTTATAAGGGTGCAAAAGATCAGTATGGTTGTGTTGCTAACAGGCTGTCTGAAGAATCTGTGCTCTTATTAGTTTATTTTCCATTTTTTTGCACTTGGCTAAGAAAGATGTAAGCATCTGCCACTAGTGGATAGAGTCCGGAGTTCCCTATGAAAATAGATTGTCATGAAAGGAAAACAGAATGGACAGGCTGGATGATATAAAGAGCTTACAAAGCGCTAACAGTTTTATGCACAGTAATTTCTCATAAATTACACTCTGCTTGAAATTGTGGTTAATTTTTTTTCTCTTTTTACTAGTGGTGCAAACTTGGGTGAGTTATTTAATACCACAAAACATGTTGTCTCCTCCATGAAGTGAGCAAGAAATTAATTCCTGCCTCATAAGATTGTTCTAAGGATTAAGTGAAGTAACATATGAATAATGATCAGCATTGTGCCTGGTATATCCTGGTATATTTTTACTGCATAACCAATGTTTGCTACTAATAACATCTAACAGTAACCATTAACAATGATGGTGAATGCAATTCTTATGCTGATATTCATGTAGCATTGTCCCTGACTGAGACATCAACTGGTTGGTCAGTTGTTCCAAAAAAGTCCATTGTGATGCCTCTTGATTATTCTATTTTTATCGTTTTCCCTTCTGCTCCCAGAGCATAATAGCTTAGACACTGCCATATATCCATACGCTATGGCTATTTGATTTCTGCCTGGTTTAAGAATTCTAATGTGATTGGGGATTTCAACCCATAGATAGTTTCAGCTTAGAAAACCGCTTTACACAAAGTGCCATCATATTGTCATTGTTTTGATATGCTGGCCCAGCAGTAAATTTCCTAAAGACTAAGTTAGTGTCTCTTCATGGTTTCAGGGATCATGAAGAGTATCACTAAATAATAGACTTGAATGGTTATTCTAAGCTTTTTTTTTTTTTTTTCATATTACACAAAGCGCTGCTCAGTAATTTACAGCATTAAATGGCATTTTCTTCTAAAAGGTCAAGTCTGACTCTAAATGAAGGACATTACATGTTATTAAAATTAAACATAAATATTTATATTCTTCCAAGTAAAGTAAAAGGAGATATATACCTAAAATTATATTGAATCCCCCGAGGGAATGTTTTCAATTTCTGAGATATTGGCAGTGTTAATCCAATCTTTTTTCAACAGTATCAGGAATAACACTGAGCAGATGATAACCCCCAGGATAAGTAAACTTGTGTTAATAGAGAAAAAGAAATGCCAGAAGTGCTTTACCATATAGAAAACACTTATGCATATTAAATCATGCAAAATGGGCATTGTTCAACTCTGGCACAATTTTGACCTTGTGTAACTTAATAGAAGAGAAACTACTAGAGTTGTAGTTAATGAAAAAATCTCCACATCAAGCTGCAGTTACCTCATTGATTACAGAGTACAGCATTTATTCATGAATCCTGGAAAAACATATTAGCAAGAGGCAATGTATGTTTCATTATGCAGGTTTAAATTACCATCTAATAGAATAGTATTCCACTTAAAACATTTGGAAATAACAGTATGGTACACTTGACAAAGGGTATAGATTTTTGATATAGGTTATGCAGAAGATGTGAATTTCAGGCCTAGCTGTGCATGTGCTGACTGGTTAAGTGACTTGGGAAAGTCACTTCATCCTTTTTTATTTCTTCATGGGCAAAATGACCTAACAATACCCACATTACAGAATTATAAGCATTCATAAATAAGAGAATCATTTTACTGATATATAACCTCAAAACAGCTATTTGAATGTATGAACTTTTTCATTACCCAAAGCTATATACAAAATATAGCAGACAGCAAAGTTGTGCAAAAGGTAAAGACTACATTAAGGTCAAAAAATTGCAGAAAAGATCATTCAAGATTTCGATCAGCTTGCCTTTAAAAGCATGTTCAAGAAATATCTACACAAGATCCAAGAAGACAACTTCACTGAAAATCTTAGAAAATTTTAATAACAAAAAACAATAGAAATTATTCATTTACTGGTCTCCAGTTAAGTGTGCCTTTGAAATTTTCTAATTCAGTTGAAACCAAAAGCTTACTTGAAGTCAGGATGGAAATAACAGACAGATTTTATGAATTTTGAGTAATTCAAGCAGTATAGAAAACAGATATAATGAGTAGGCTGTAAGAATCATTCATGTGGGGGCTCCTGGGTGGTTCAGTCATTAAGCATCTGCCTTTGGCTTAGGTCATGATCCCAGGGTCCTGGGATCGAGCCCCACATCGGACTCCTGCTCAGCGGGAAGCCTGCTTCTCCCTCTCCCACTCCCCCCTGCTTGTGTTCCCTCTCTCACTGTCTCTCTCTCTGTTAAATAAATAAATAAAATCTTTAAAAAATATATTAAAAGAATCATTGATGTGGATTTTAAATACATCCCTTCTTAAAAATGAATAGGCACCTTAATTTGATTTTATTAACTATATATCTGTCAGAAGTTAAGCATGCTGAAGATAAGGGTTCAAGTTTGAATCAAGACACAGAGGAAGATCTCTGATCCTCTGGTTACTGATCTTCACATATGCTACAAAGTGCCAGTGAGGACATAGCTCTGAACTTGTTCTCAGGGTTGGCTGTAGGCAGCCTAGTTGTTTAGCCCCTGGTCCAGACCACATGTTTTTGTTAACATTAAGCACATGGTGACTATAACCTTTGATTCATAAGCAAGGAAAATGAAGAACCCTTTTTCATGAGGGAAATTTAGAAAAAAAACAAACAGGTAATTACCAATTCTTAAAATCTATCTAAATAATTTATCTAAAATTAAAATTCAGTGTTTGATAACAGAATATTATTCAAATAATACATTAAATTTTTTTTTAATTTTATAATCACATAAGTTGACAGTGAACAATAGGCGTTAAGCCAAAGTCAATCAGGTAATGATTATTAGAATATGGTATATCTGCTTGAGAAAATGCACCACAGCAATCAAAATAAATATTAGGAAGACCATTTAGCAGGCTTGAGAAATGTTTTTAATATAAACCAAAGAGAATTAGAGAGAATACATGACTGTGCTTATATTATGTTCTTAACTATGTGGAAGATATGGATACTTGTGGAAAAAAGATTAGAAAATGATAGTAGTTTTTTATTTTTATTTTATTTATTTATTTATTGAGAGGGAGAGGGAGAGAAGGAATCTTAGGCAGGCTCCACACCCAATGTGGAGCTTGACACAGGGCTCGATCTCACAACACTGAGCCAAAATCAAGAGTCAGGGACACTTAACTGATTGAGCCATCCATGTACCCCATATAGTAGTTGTTTTAGAGTATGAGATTGGGAGTTATGCTTTTTCATGTATTTTTTCAAAAATGTTGCCTTATTATTATTAAGCTTAAAGCTAACAAGATTTTAATAAAAACAAGCACTCAAAATTATATTCATTTTATATGTCAATATGCCACCAAATTGCCTTTGTCCAAAACAGCTAATTTTTAATAGCCAATATCCATATTCTTCTTAGAGACAAGCTATGTTTATTTTTATCAGGTATATAAATATTATTTACCAGATTTTGCCTTTTGCTAGGTAATAAAATTACATAGCTCAGCTATTATTAAAGCAAACAGAATTCCAAACAAGAAATGAGCACTTGAAAAGTAGAAATGTTTATTAAATAAAGCAAACTAAATCCTCAGATTTCTTTATTGGGTTGTTTTTAGTAAAATTTGGTTACATTTATTTTATTTCTTGCTTGAGAGTAAGCCTTTTAGGGTTCTTATTTTAAAATAGACATTGAGGAAGGAAAAATTATGTGTTTGGCTTCATTATAAATCATTATGTATTTGACCAATAAATATTAGAGGGAAAACAATAGGGAAAATGAAGAACCACTAAAGAAAAAGGAGAGGGAATATAATTCTAAGAGTGAAAGGAACCAAAAAAAAATGAGAAAGAAGAAATTTTAAGCTTTTAACTGACCTTTGAGATTTGTATTCCATTTAATCCTATTGTATTGCAATCTTTGCTGTCAGTCCATAATCCTAAATGGACGATTTCCTTTATCCCAACAATTTTGCTGATCTAATACCTTATAAAGGTAAAATTTCTTAGATTTTCTATAAACAGAATTCTGATGAGAAAGCCAATGGTTGTGTCTCCCTTCATGGGTTACCTCTCACCTACTTCCCTCTGTATTTAAAAGAACCCTACATCCTATCTTGAATCCCAGAAAATCTGCCCCACTTCCCATTCTTACCTTGTTATGTTTTTGTGCATTAAGACAATACCCAGTCTTCCTTCCTTTAATTTCTGGTAAACTCAAGTGTAACCAATGAAAATTAAGAAACTCCTCAACTCCATTAAATTTTGTAAAATTCAAAATTATGCTGTCGTGTGAAGTATCCATACCCTTCTTTAGTTTTGTTTTGTTTTTTTTTTATAAATGACATATCCCTTTTTAAAATATAAGTTCTAATATTGCACATCTTCCCATCAGAGTGGCAGAAAGAATTGGTAAAACCTTACCTGATACCTTGATGAGAAAGAAGTCATTGCCCTTTGAAGCAACGCACCAAAATATTCAGAGAACAAGGGCTACGCTCTATAGGAATTGACAGCAAAGGACACGCACGACACATACTGAGTATGTGACTAAAATGTATGTCGCATATCAAAAGCATGTCACAAATACAATGAGCAAATCCAGCTCTGTTTTCTCAACATAAGCTGAGGCCTGCCGGACACTGGACGCTTTGTAATCATTGGCTGGGGGAAGCAATAAGAAATAGTGAGAAATATTTCACTTTCCTGTAAAATATTCTTGAACATAGTCACTGAAGTCGCAGTGAGTATGGTGGCTTTACTTGGCCTGCATTTTCATTATAGCATTCCTCTATCGCTGTATATTTTAGTTGTGCTTTAGAAATGTTCTCAGCCCAACTTATAGATTAGCTTAATTAATGAACCAGCTAAATTGCACTTTCAATGGTCCCTCCAAAAGAACTTGCCTTTCATCTGAAGCGGCAGCATCTACCCTGGAAGAGATGAGTCAGTTGCCATATTTTTTTTCCCCTCGATAGCTTTGGGTGTTAGAGCTCATAAAAAGTGCCTTCGTATTTTGGTTCACTAGCTTAAGGTGCTGTGTGAATTCAACTTATAAATAAGTAAAGGAGTCCTTATTTTGTGATTGAAATGAGGGACAGGTTTAGTTGACCCTTTTGAGTTTCCAGCCCCTAGTGGTATGGATGATATTCATAACCCTTTTCAGCTTCATCCTGCCTATACTCTTTGAAGTAAACTATAATGTGTTGACATCCATGCCCTGTTCTTTGCCAGCAGTTCTTCAGCTCTAATGGACTTTGCTTATTCACAGAGGATGGCACCTCTCTTGAACTCTGTCTCATTTCATTTCTTTTCCTTTCCAAACATCTCTTAGTTTCTCCCCAGCATGTTTCCAAATAGTTTTTGAACACTTTAGCTCTCTAATGTGGGAGACAGCCCCAGTACTAAGTTCTGCTTTAAGCGTGGTTTATATGCTACTTTTTTACCCCCATAGTATCATAGTTTTGAATGTTTCTGAATGAATATGTGGAAACCTGCCTTTATTATATTTCATATATTGTTTTCTAAAAGGGGATTCATCGGTATGTGTAAATAATTTGATGTAATTTTATAAAATGACCTATTTTAGAAACTGTTTTTTTCCTATTATAGAAATTCACTTCTGACTTTCATATTAGATTATTCTTATTGACTGTTTTAAAACAATTACGAGAATGTAATCCATATAATGATGTCACAATAAAGTAGTATCAATGATCATTCTAAGTCAATAACACTATTCTCTTTATAGTGGATAACATAATAACACATCTGGTTTGCTGGTAAATAGTTTTTTAAAAAAAAGTAAGTGAGTAAATATGTCCTCAAATTTTTTCTCTGACTTTTCATGCTTCTCAAATGTGCTAAGTCTGCAAAAATGTGTTGTTTATGAATATGCAGTATGAACAATATGAAGCTTCTGAATCTATGACTTATATATTTATATAAATGAGTAAATATTCTCATACTTTTATTCCTTTCACTGTTTAGGGGGAATGCATTGATTGTGGGGATTATCATTTTTCACTTTTTAGTAAAAGCTTCTAGAATTTTTATTGGTACTTTTTTTGGTTAGAGAAATTTTCAATAGCTTACTATATAAATATCAGTAGTCTCAATTTACATGTCTAGCAAATGGTCAGAATAGTAAAAAGACATCGTGATACGTATTTCCACTGATACTCTAGTCAACAAAATTTTATCCTCTTGCTGGTGCCATTTTACTCAAACCCAGTCTCCCTTTTTCTACAGTCAGAGGAGTCTTGTTACTTAAAAAGTCCTTAGAGACAGGTACGGCACCATGTGGATTTGTCTCTCACAGCTGTTCTCTTTAATCTAGACTTAACTTCAAGATGATTTTCCTTATGAGCTTTTTCATGATGGAACAATAATTTGCTTTGCCTTGTTCCTGATTCTGCATGATCTTTTCCTCTTTTCGAACTAGTGCGCTAATAAGTGTTGATGTAGAAGAGGAAGATTTCTATCCTAAGAAGGATAAATCTGTGAGACTGAGCAGAGAAATATACTTGGGAAAAAAGCTCAGCCTGACTTCAACAAAGGGCCGTGTACTCTGGGCGCAGAGTTCCCTGTACTTTCATGCCTTAAAGACGAGTTCATATTGGAGAGTTAGATTCTAATGTCCAGAACGCATAGTCTGTATTAGAATCCTGTTTCTGATAAACACCTGTGTGAGAACAAGAACAGAAACATTTATGGACATCTTTTACAAGGCCATTTTCTTAATCATTTCACACATTTGACAGAACACGGAGGCATAAACCAATCTCAGCCACGCTTGTGTTTTTGAAGGTTATTCGACTACCACGGGCGTGTGCCTCCACCTCCCCGCACGGTGATTCCGCTGAAGCGTCCCCGAGTGGCCGTCACTACGACGCGCAGGGGGAAAGGAGTCTTTTCCATGAAAGGGGGCTCGAGATCTACCGGCAGTGGGTCATCTTCATCAGGCTCTAAATGTAAGTAATCTTCCTTAATTTATTTCTGCTTAAAGGAGGCGCTAGGGGCGCCTGGGTGGCTCAGTCATTGAGCGTCTGCCTTCTGCTCAGGTCATGATCCCAGGGTCCTGGGATCGAGCCCCGCATCGGGCACCTTGCCCAGCAGGGAGTCTGCTTCTCCCTCTCCCACTCCCCCTGCTTGTGTTCCCTCTCTCGCTGTGTCTCTCTCTGTCAGATAAATAAATAAATAAATCTTAAAAAAAAAAGAAGAAGAGAGGGACTACTTATCATTGCACTAATGCCTATATTCAATAAATTAATAATTATGGAGTGTGTTTGGTACATAGTATGAGAGAAATATAAAATGGCTAAGGAAGGGACTCAGCTTTGCATCATACTACATTGCAGTAGGGAGACAAACACAAGCGTGACTAACAAAAACCCAGGACCAATTTGAAAACTTTTATCAGAGCAAGGACATGTTTTAGGCCCACCTGGTTTGTAACATATTACAGTTGTGAAATATAACATGTTGCTTTTAGGGAAGAAAAAAAAATTCATTTCAAAAGAATGTGCATATAGTATCTTTTCAGGGAAATAATATTCCAAATTAGTGCATGCTTTGAATATTTGAGCACTGGGACAATTAAGATAGGCAAATGACATAATAGAGATGTTAAAAATGTAACTTCCCGTACTATGCTAAATCATTATGGTTATGTGTCTGAAAGTATATTTTATGTCGTAAAAATAAAATAATATTAACATAATTTCACGTTAATTAGTGAAAAGTAAAGATATAAACTTTCTGACAAAACACACTGCTAAATTTTTATACAGACGGATTCAGAAAAACTAATTTGCTATTAGAATAGTATTCATAAGGAAAAGATAGAAAATCTTCTTGCATTCCTTGAGATTATTTTGTAGCAGAGAAGACACAGACAATAAGCAAACAAATTAGAATATGAGATGTTACATTGTAGATCACTGCTATGTCAAAGAATAAATAAAGGGAAAGAGAAAGTTTCATAGGATGGTATATGGCTACCTCTCTCTGATGAAAATGGCATTAGAACGGAGACTTGATGGAAGCAAGGAAGTGAGAGAGTGAGTCTGAAGCTCTCGGGGACAAAGCGTTCTGGCAGGAGAATGGTCAGTGCTGAGACCTTAGGTTAATAGGGAACAGCAGGGAAACGAGTGTGGCTGCAGCAGAGTAAGGGAGGGACAACGTAGCTGGAAATAAGGTGAGAGAGGTAGAGAAAGGTCAAGTTCCAGAATAGATTGGCAGGCCATTGTAGAGACTTTGTAGTTACTCTGCCTCCCAACTTTTAAGACAAGTAAGGCAAATACTATTATCTCAATTTTATTTTTTTTAAAGATTTTATTTATTTATTTGAGAGAGAGAGAGAACAAGCCTTGGGGATGGGTGGGGGATGGGGGTAGAGAAGCAGACTCCCTGCTGAGCAGGAAGCCTGATGCAGGAAGCCTGACCCTGAGCCCAAGGAAGAAGCTTAACCGACTGTGCCACCCAGGCACCCCTATTATCCCAATTTTAAATTGATGAGTAAACACAGAGAAGGTCACATAGCCAAGACTAGAACTCGTGTCTACATGTTGTCTACTATAGGACATTGCCTTTTACCTTAGTACCATCAGAAATATCAAGAAAGGACACTGTTGAAATATTTTGTTTTTACATGAGAATGTGCAAAAACATAGTTACCAGAAGCACTGATGCTCCTGGTAAATGACTCAAGTTTGGTTTGCTTGGACTTTGACTTAGCTAATAAAAGCTAAATAACAAATTGATTTAGAGTTCCCTGTGTACTTATTTATCCATTTATCTATCTATTCTGTGGATAAATATGAATTCCCTTTTTGAGTTTTAGTAATAAAAGGAAATTAGTTTCTGCAGCAATCTCTAAACAGAGTTGTGTATGCTCTCAGATTATCATCAAAAGCAAAGAAATCTCTTGAATTCGGTTCTTGCTGTGAAAAAATGAACATTGAATTGCCTGCTAGTTTTATAGAAGACTTTTTTACCATGGTAATACTAACTTCATTTCAACTAGAAATATCTTAAGCATCTGTGGAGTCTTTGTCCTGTGGTCACTATTAAAACAATGTTTATCAATTGGAACTTTATTGGCTCTTTGACCATGTAAGTTCTATATTGTGTAAGAGTATTCTGAGCTTTGTAGAACTCTAGCATTCTTGACGCCCAAACCCTAAATGCCAGTAGCATTCCTCAGTCTTTGTAACAGCTGTATCTACTGTTAGACATTTCTAAATCTTCCCTAAGGAGATAATACCCCCCTAGGTTAGAACCACTGAGTGGTGGCCATTCTTGGGTAAGTGCAACTGAGTAGGATCCAGCCACTTGACTGTCATATACCCCACTGTTGCAGAGAAGAGTAGTAGTTTCCAGAAGTTATTTGAAAGTAAATATCTTAATATTTAGATGGTTACATTGTTTTTGGCCTTTTTATTTTTTGATTTCTAGTTTTCTTAGATCATGGAGAGAGAATAAGGATTATAAAAATCTTTTTTGAGGTTATTAAGAGTTCCTTTGGGTTCCATAATAATCAGATTTTCTGAATGGAAAATAGAATACATTTTCTGCTTTTCACATAGAACAGAATGTGTGTTTTACCCTGTTGATTGTATTATACAGTCCTCTCTCGACTTGCTCTTTTGTGGAAAATTATGTCAAATTATGAAAGTGATTACTTAAAATCTTCTACAATGATAGTGACTTTATAAAGTTTTTCTTTTCTGGGCGCCTGGGTGGCTCAGTTGGTTAAGCGACTGCCTTCGGCTCAGGTCATGATCCTGGAGTCCCGGGATCGAGTCCCACATCAGGCTCCCTGCTCAGCAGGGAGTCTGCTTCTCCCTCTGACCCTCCTCCCTCTCATGCTCTCTGTCTCTCATTGTCTCTCTCGCAAATAAATAAAATCTTAAAAAAAAAAAAAAATTTTAAAGTTTTTCTTTTCTTGAGGTTTGGTTTTATGTCCCATGTTGCTTAGATGGTTTTTAAATAGTGTTTTATATTAATAATAGGAGAAAGAATAATAGCTAACACTTTTTTGGTGTTTATGACAGCTGTTGTTTCAACCATGCATTAATACATATATGCATTTACATATATTAATTCATTTTACAATATTAACTTTACATATATAAATTCATTTATTCCTTATAACTGCCATATAAATGGAGTATTATTATTATTCTCATTTTATAGATATGGAAAATGAGGCATAGAAAAGTTGAGTGATACCTCTAAAGTCACAGAGCCGTTCAATAACAGAGCCAGTTGCTATAGCCAGGTTCTAGAGCATCTGGTTCCAGAATGTAGTCTCTTCAGTCTGTGGCCTTTTCAATACTGACTCTCTGTAACCTCTTGGAGAATTGTAACTTTTACATTTATATAGTATTCCATTTACTATTTTTAGCTTTGAATTCTGCTTTGTCTGATATTTTGATCCTTTACTGATAAGGTTCTCTTTTGGTTCACATTTCCCTCATACATCCATTTATTTTTTCATCTTTTTATGTGTATTCATTTCCTAGGGCAGCTGTAATAAATTATCATAAACTGAATGGTTTAAAACAACAGGTATTTGGAGGCTAGAAGTCTGAAACCCAGAGTGTCAGCTGAGTTGTGCTCTCTTTCTGGAAGTTCTAGAGGACAGATCTGTTCCATTCCTTTCTCTTAGTTTCTGGTGTGCTGGCAATCCTTGGCATTCCTTGGTTTACAGACGTTCCACTTCAGTCTCTCTCCACTGTCCTATGGTGACCGCCTCCCCCCCTTCCCCCCCGCCAAGTCTCTGAGTCCTTGTGTCTGTCTCTTCTCTTCTTAAGAGGACACCAGTCATACTGGATTAGGGCTTACCCTAAATGACTTCGAGTGGAATACATCAGCAGAGATCTGTTTCCAAATAAGGTCACATTCACAGGTACTTCAACAAATCTTTTGGGGGATCATATTCCAACCCATAGCATGGTCACTTTCTCTCTTTCTTTCTTTCTTTCTTTCTTTCTTTCTTTCTTTCTTTCTTTCTTTCTTTCTTCATTCAATTAACTGTAGTTAGTGTTATTTTAATGAAACATAAATCTAAACAATATTTATATATAATTCACTAGCAAGCAAAACGAGAATCACAATTACACATTCTTTCTAAAATCATATAGGCAGATTATATTATATACACGCACACACGTGTGTGTGTATGTGTGTATTCATTATTTAAAAGTACTTTTATAATTAGCCTGGTACCTGGGAATAACAATAATTTTCAAATTTAAATCACAAATGAAAAATTCTAGTGAAATGTAAAATATACTATGTTAATATTAGCTTAAGTGAATGAATATTTACTGAGGTACCTCTTGCTCTTTTATTAATAGTTGTTTCCTAGTATTTAATGACTTGGCAAGTACAGAAGAGGAAATTAATGTTATAGCTTAGACAATCTGTCATTTCTTATTTCAGAATTTTAATATGACTAAATTCTGCTGTGGAAAAAAAATACAAAGAAAAAATATATTAACACTATAATTTGCCAAGGTTGAATACTAATAAGTGTTGAAAATGGATTGCTCTTTTAAAAAATTAAATTACCAAAAAAAAAAAAAATTACCACTAAGTATTTGTCCCTTTGCAAATCAACTTGAACTAAAACTATGCAGTTACCCCCCACTCATCTGTGGTTTCACTTTCCAGAATTTGTTACCCATGGCCAACCAGGGTGCAGAAGCAGATGCTCCTCCTTCTGCATATCATCAGAAGGTCAATGGTAGCCTAATGTTACATCATGACACCTATGTCATTCTTCTCATTTCATCTCTCACATGGCATTTTGTCATCTCACATCATCACAAGAAGGATGAGCACAGTATAATAAAATATTTTGAAAGAGAAAGACCACATTCACATAACTTTATTAAAGAATATTGTTATAATTGTTCTATTTCTTTCTGTCCCTAATTTACAAATTAAGCTTTATCAAAGGTAT